CTGCCACTCTATTTTATCTAAGTCAAGTGAGAAACTTTTATTTTTCTTTCATAAATTTTTTCCTTAGCTAGGATTTCTCTCATTTTAGTGACCCACATTTGGACTCAACATCTGCTGAATAAAGATAAGCCAAGTAATCCTGAAGTAGTCTATGAATGCCAGGAGAAAAAAAATTCATTTATGTAGTTCTTTGTTAATTTTTATTCATTGTTTGATTTCCTATAATAAGATGAAAAATATTGCAATTTTTCTACCATTGGTAGTTCTTGGAGAGATATAGCTTCAAATGAAGAAAGTTCTCAAGTCATTCATCTAAATTTCTATTTTATGAAGCTAAAAATAGGGCAGATTAGGCCCAAAGCAAGTAAAAGAAAGGAAATTACAAAAATCAGAGCAGAAATCAATGAAATAGTAATGGAGAAATAATAGAGAACATCAAAGTCTATTTTTTTGCAATGACCAGTTAAATGGATAAACCTAAATGTGAGGAGCTCAGCTGAGCCAGAAGAGCAAGAACTGAGCTGGTAGGTATTGGAGTAGTTGATTAAAGCAATTAGCCAAAAGTGAGAGAGTTAAGTCTCCAATCACTTACTGTGATGGTATAAGCAAGAGGCTAAAACCAGAGAAAATGCCAGTTCCTCCTGTTCCATTTACTCTCAGGAAGTGAAATGGAACACCAATTGTGGATCACGTGGATCAGCACAGATGTGGGGATCTGTTGAGGGAGCCCCCAAAGAAAGGGCTTTGGCAATTTTATGGGCTCTGAGGTAAAGAAAAGTTGGGAGGAAGGGACAAGAGTAGAAGAGACCCCTTCCCAAGGGCTCAGATAAAGAAGCCTAGGAGTAGAGGTACCAGAGCTAGGAATGTGAATATGTGAAAGAATGTGACTAGGGGAGTAGAGGGGTCTGAGACCTTGACTATAAATTCCTTCAGAGACCACAGTGCATTGGCAGTATACTGAGTCTGATATAGGGAGAGCAGTTTTAACCCACAGAACCTGTGAAGTAAAACCTTTGTAAACTGCCTATAGTTAGGCCTGAAAAAAAAATCACACATAGATTTTTTTTTTTAAGACTTATTTATTTGAGAGAGAGAGAGAATGATAGCATGAGAGGAGAGAGGTCAGAGGGTAGAAGCCCAATGTGGGACTCGATCCTGGGACTCCAGGATCATGACCTGAGCCAAAGGCAGTTGCTTAACCAACTGAGCCACTCAGGCGCCCCCACACATAGATTTTTAACCAGAAGCCAGACTCGTCACTAGATTGGTAAGAAAATAAAGTACAAACTACCAATATGAGGAATGAATGGGGAAACATCCCTACAGAAACATAAGAGAATATTATGAATAACATTTGCTAACAAATTTGATCATGTAGATGAAATGGACAAATTCTTTGAAAATACAAATTACTAAAACTGACTCAAGAAGAAATAGAAAATCTTGATTAGATCTGTATCAAGTAAGAAAGTTGATTTAGCTTATTAAACTTATATAATTAATATCTTTCAAAAAAAGAGAAGTCAGCAACTTACACTAGCAAAGAAAACATCATGGTGATTTCCACGAAACATTTAAGGAGGAAATTGTATCAATACATACAAACTTTCAGAAAACAGAGGAAGAAGGAACAGTCGAAACTCATTTTATTAGGCCAATTTTATCCTGATACCCAAACCAGGCATCATGAGAAAACTACAATTCCAGATCCTTCATGAACATAGAAGCAAAAGCCTTAACAATATTTGTACTAGAAAAGGATAATACACTGTGGCCAAATGGGTTTATCCTAGGAATGCATAGTTGGTTCAACAATAAAAATCATTTAATTTAATTTGCAATATTAATAGAATTGATTTTTTTTTTTTTTTTAGATTTTATTTATTTATTTGACAGAGATCACAAGCAGGCAGAGAGGCAGGCAGAGAGGCAGGCAGAGAGACAGGAGGAAGCAGGCTCCCTGCTGAGCAGAGAGCCCGATGCGGAACTCGATCCCAGGACTCCGAGATCATGACCTGAGCCGAAGGCAGCGGCTTAACCCACTGAGCCACCCAGGCGCCCCTAGAATTGATTTTTTAAAAGCATATGATCATCTCAGTAGTCAAAAAATGTTTGACAAAATTCAACACCCATTCATGGTAAAAACACTAAAAAAAATAAGGAACAGAAAGGAATTTTCTCAGTCTGATAAAGGGCATGTATGAAAAACCCATAGCTAACATAATTATTAAGAGTGAAAGGTAGAGAGCTTGCTAAGATCAGGGACAAGACAAGGATAGCTGCCTTCATCACTTCTTTTTAACATTGAATTGGAAGTTCTAGAAAGAACAGTTAAGCAAGAAAAATAAATAAAGGCATCTAGTTTGGAAAGGAGGACGTAAAATAATGTCTGTTTGCAAATTACATGATCTTATATGTGGAAAATTATAAGGAATTTCCAAAAAATTATTAGAGTTAATAAATGAGTTCAGGTTTGTAGGCTACATGATCTATGTACAAAAAAATCTATTTTATTCCTTTGTGCTAGCAATGAGCAATCTGAAAACAAAATTTAAAAAGTAATTCCATTTAGAATAGGGTTAGGAAAATACTCTGCTATTAGGTTTGTGATGCTGCACAATTTTGTGAATATACTAAGCTGTACATGTTAAGAGGGTGAATTTTATGGTATACAAATTACATCTCAATTTAAAAAATATACTGAGAAGGTACTTTTATCTGGAATATATCAAGGACTCCTATAATTTGGTAATGTAAGGAAACAAAAAAAAAACCAAAGTGGGTATAAAATTGGAACAGGCACTTCTCATAAGAATATATATGAATGACCCACAAGTACGTGAAAATGTATTCACCATCATTGTTGATTAGAAGAGTACAAACTAATGTCACAAGTGATGAGGATTTAGAGCACCTGAAACTCTTACTCATTGCTGACAGTAATGCAAAATGGCATAGTCAAAATTTTTTTATATAAATTTTTTATTATGTTATGTTAGGCACTAAACAGTACATCATTAGTTTTTGATGTAGTATATAGTCAAATTTGAAAAAAGTTTGGCAATTTCTTTTAAAAGCTGAGCATGCATTTACTGTACAACCCAACAATTCTACTCCTAGGTATCTACCAAAAGAAATAGAACATATGTTCACATAAAGACGTACATAAATGTTTAAAACAGCTTAATTTGTAGTAGTCAAAAACTAAGCAACCCAGAATTCATTCGCAAGTAAACACGTGAATAAAAGGTGGTATATCCAGGGGCACCTCGGTGGCTCAGTGGGTTAAGCCTCTGCCTTCAGCTCGGGTCATGATCCCAGGGTCCTGGGATCAAGCCCCACATCGGGCTCTCTGCTCTGCGGGGAGCCTGCTTCCTCCTCTCTCTCTTTCTCGCTCTGCCTGCCTCTCTGCATACTTGTGATCTCTGTCAAATAAATAAATAAATAAATCTTAAAAAAAAAAAAAAAAGGTGGTATATCCAAACAGTATAATACTACTCAGCAGTAAAAAGGAATGGACTGCTGATATAATAACATGAATGAATCTCAAAATATGCTCAGTGAAAGGAGGACAGGCACAAAAGACCACACACACACACACTGTTTGATTCTATTTATATGGAAATTTAAAAAAAATTCGTAACTATAAAGACAGAAAGCAGGATTAGTGGTTGCTTGGGGCCAGGAGTAGGGGCTGGAATTGATTGCATATAGGCAAAAGCCAAATTTTTGGAGGGGGGGGAATTGTTCTGAAGTTTTATTGTAGTAGTGGTTACCTGACTATACATTTGTCAGAATTCATCAAACTACACTTAAAGTGGGCAAATTTTATGGTATGTGTAATACACCTCAATTAAATTGTTTTTTTAAGATGCCTTCTTTATTGTTGCTAGAAAAATGGGAGATGTATAGCCTCATTTCTAGAGATTATAAAAATTAACATCTTTTTCAGCCTGCATTTCATTTTGCTTTTTTATCTTTAATTTTTTTCTTTGTAGCACATTTTAGAATTTTATACTTAATCCACATAATTTTGCAAACAGATGTTTGAATGTTTATTATGTGCCAAGCAGTGGGAAAACAGAGCCCCTACCCCAAGATACTATTCCCATAGTCTTACAGGAAATGCTAATTTATTTTAAAATTAATTAATAGAAAATATAAACACAAGAAGAGAAGTGTTTACAAAGTATGGACGGGTTAACTTTATCTGAATGGAGCTGAGTAATCTAAGGGGTCTTTAAGTTTGGTCAGGGAAGGATTCCCTGGGGAGCTGTCATTTGAAGGATGAGAGGAATTGATCAGTGGACAGGGGAAAGTAAACATATTAGCCTCCTAAATAGTCTTTAGTTAAATAGAGAAGGAGTGGGGGGTGTATTTTGGTGTTTATAAGACAAAGTCCTTTAAAACACAGGATTTGAGTCCTTTAGCTCACTGATTTTTTTGTTTCTCTTATTAGTGATAGAACTTCAACTTAGCTGGCACTTAGATCTCTCAAGTTTTTAAAAATTCCACCCTCTTTTGGAGTTTCACACTCATTCAGGGTCCTGGCATATTATTTTGTACTACATCTTGTGAATTCCATATTTTCACTGTTCTTCAGCCACACTGACAGCCTATGTCTTTTTACCCAAAAGTTACTTTCCCTTTGCCCCCAAAACATTTGCTCTCATAGAGTGGCTAGATTCTATAGACTGTATTATTCACCAGAAATGTGCAACACTATTTAAAAAATAAATGTATAGAAGAAGCAGGCGCTATCTTAAATCACTTAAGATTGAAATTTCAATGAGAAATACTGTGGGATATTTGGATAGAAAGCTGGGAACCTATTATCTCTTCTTTGCTCCTTCTACTCCCTATACTTTCCTTTACTTACCTCCGTTGAGAAAATTTTCTTACTGTCCAAAAGTAACTGATGAGGATAACATTTAAAATATCTATAATGGGAACTGTTCTTTATGAAATGCCTTGAGAATTTTCTGTTTCATGTCTAAAAGGAAGAAGAAGAATTTTCGGTTCTTTCCAGCTGCCTGGGGCTTCTGCCAACATTTTACCAAACAGAACATCCATTCATCAGTGCCTCTTGTCTGGATTGGCCAGTTCCAGCATTTGATATTATATCTCAGTGGTGTCTTGAGATAAATTCATTTACTGAAAGACATGCAGAACAAGGAAAGGTACGTAAGAAGAGTAGTATTGCCCACTTGACATAGGGGTGATATGTTAATAGGGTAAGAGAATAATGAAGAATTAAAAATTTCAGGTCAGCTGTTTTGGGGAGCATATACTAAACTAATTATGTTGAATAAATGGTTTCCTTATGTAATGTTTATGATTCTAAAAGCAAAAATACTTCAGTTAACAAAGCTAAGTTATTAATATGCTACTTTAAGTTGGTTTTAGGTCATTAGGCTTTTATTGAATGTCTTAAATAATCACAGCCCTAGACTTGAAAGATACAAAGGAATTTTAAGATAGACAAGGAACTTATAAACTTATTGGGAAGACAGCTGTCACACAAAAATAAAAGATTTGGAGTAGCAGATTTAAAAGGCCATGTCTTTAACTTTAAAATTTGCTGGGCCTATCCTGCCAGCTTGGCTAGTGAAGGGTTTTGTGTTGAAGATAGTTGAACTGGAAAGGTAGAGTGGGGGCAGTGGGAAGTGGCTATGAATTCCATGGTTTGATGCTTAGACTTTCTACCTCAAACTATAGGTGGAACTACAGTTTTTGAGAAATGGAATAATATGATGGAAGTATTTTAGGGAGATAATTTGGGTAGTTTTTTAGTAGGCAAATTGAAATAAGGAGAGAGAGACGCCAGAGATTATGTTAGGTGGTGAAGAAAATCTGGTATTATTCTGACAGTAGAAATTAGACAGAATATAACCAATGCATGAGACATTTGAGAAAAATATGTAGGACTTGATGACCAGATGTATATTTGACTTTAAGATCTGAACGCAAAGCATTGAGAGAATAGTAACTAGTAGACATAATTCTGATAGAAATCTGATTCTGCTTAAAATACCATTGATGGTGTATGGAGGAAGACTGGAGTGTTTGCATAGCATTCAGGGGTTTTCACCATCTTGCTTGCCTTTCTAAACTTCGTCCATACCACTCCCCTGCTACCACCTTGCTCAAACTGCAGAAGAATGTTTTAAGTGTGCTATATGTTTTTAAACATGTGTTATTTCTTATTACTGTTACTTTTATCTAAAGCAGTTTTCCTATCCTTCTCCTGTTGAATTAATCACTCCTCAAGGCTTTGCTAAGATAAGTGTACCTCTTCTGTAAAGCTTTGTCTGATAATCCTTCTTTTTCAATTCTAATCCCCTCCCTCTGTTGTGTTATATGACAGTACTTTTGCCATGGTCTCTAACAGTCACCATATTTATCACTTTTGTTTGTTTAATATGTCTGAATGGGGGGCTCCAAAAGCAAAAATTGTTCCTTATTTTTCTTTGAATTGCTAGTTCCTAGAAAGTACCTGATATAGACTGGTCACCTAATAAATATTTGTAGAACAGTTAACTGGTAGGATGATATCATTGGTAGAAATAGAACTGGTAAAAGAAGAGCCATGTTTCAGAGAAAATGAGAATTTAATTTTAATTTTAAAAAGGAGATAATAGGGGCACCTGGGTGGCTCAGTGGGTTAAGCCTCTGCCTTCAGCTCAGGTCATGATCCCAGGGTCCTGGGATCAAGCCCCACATTGGGCTCTCTGCATGGCAGGGAGCCTGCTTCCCCTCCCCCCTCCGCCTGCCTCTCTGTGTACTTGTGATCTCTGTCAAATAAGTAAATAAAATCTTTTTAAAAAATAAAAAATAAATAAAAAGGAGATAATAAAAAATTAGTATTTTATTTTATTTTCAAAAAATTTTATTTATTTGAGAGAGAGAGACAGAGATAGCATGGGCAGGGGAAGGGGCAGAAGGAGCTGGGAAGCAGACTCCCCACTGAGCATGGAGCCCAACACGGGACTGGATCCCAGAACCCTGAGATCATGACCTGAGCCAAAGGCAGATGCTTAACTCATTTTGCCACCCAGTCTCAGTATTTTAGATAGAGGTGTCACACTAGAATAGACATTGAGTGAATAATAAAGGCAAGGTAAGCATAAATAATAAATGTCTCTGCTTTTGTTCACTTCTGTTTTCTATTGAAATCCTTAAGGAAATAATATTTTATACCCTCTCTTTTAAAGGAAAGACAATTTTAAGACATTGATTGAGCCTTGTATACTATGTATAAAATTTTTTTTCCTATCTAGTAATTTCCTTATTTTTAGATAATAGCTAGAATCTGAAGTTATATATTGATGTCTAGAAACCTATAATGAATGACTAGGGATAAGAGATGGATATAACTTAGAACCAGGACAGGAGAAAGTGATGAGTATACATGTACTTAAAATTTTTTGTTTTCATAGGAGTCATGGGTTAAACAATAGATAAAAGCTAACTCATTTGAGGGGCACCTGGTGGCTCAGTTGGTTAGGTGTCTATGTTCTCCTTGGGTCATGATCCTGGGGTCCTGGGATTGAGGCCCACATCCAGCTCTCTTCTCAGAGGAGAGCCTGCTTCTCCCTCTCCCTCTGCCTGCCATTCTCCCTACTTGTGCTTGCACACGTGCACACACACACACACGCGCGCGCACACATACACACACACACACACACACACACACACCCTCTCTCTCTCTCTCTCCAATAAATAAATAAAATCTTAAAAAAAATAATTCATTTGATAGTATAATAACAAGCTCCCATGTTAGATGTGTGATTATTAGTATGGATATTGATGGAAAATAAGAATTTGTCATTTAAAAAATAATCTTTTGTGTAAAATTGAGTGATAATGATTTGTTTTAGAGCCAGAACAGTATCATTTATTTCTACTTATTCCAAAATTTTCCAGTTATTTGAATGCACTCCCATCCAACCTGCATCCCTACTTTTATCCCTGTTCCACTCTGTTCTTTCTCTAGTCCTGACTCTGACCCAGGTCAACCAGATTTTCTTTACCTGGAATTTTAAATATGAACAAGATAGAAACCATATTTGGAGCTGAATAGTCCAACAAAAGTACCCTTGGAAGATAGTCTGAATTACTGCTCTGATTTTTTGTATCAGCTAAGATTCTTTGGTCACAGACAGTTTTGGTGTGTTTTCTCTGAAGTGCTGCCACTGGATAACCCCATCTGAACCACTTTCCATCCTTCTATATGGTGCTCAAGATTGATTCCTGGGAGAAAGGATCTGATTGACCTAATCTGCATCCTATGTACATCCCTGTGATGGGGCAGGATCTTGCATTAGGGCAACTGTCAGACCTTTTCTTGGAACAAGAAAAGAGGTTATTTTCCAAATACTGTAATACTGTTAATAGTATAAGAAGGCAGATAAGGATGTGGACAAATTGAAAAACATAAATAACAAACAATGGTGGCCCACTGTCTTCATATCTTACCTGTTGGCACGTAGACATCCTTATCCTCATTCACAGAGTTTCATTTATTCCCCTGTTCAAAATGATGTAACCGTTGCATTTATAATCACAAATGCATCTACCACTTTGCCAAATATGCAAATAAAGTCGCATCCAATAGTTACATCATCACACCCTTCTGAATGCAGAGGCTCTGAGAGACGTCCATTCCTTCTATATTTGTTGTACTTATACCCTGGTGGCCTGGAAAATTTTAATTAGCAGCTCCTCACCCTCAATTCCATAGTTAAGTGAAAGAAAAAGAGAATAGAAAATTTTGCAAGAAGATATGCCACCGTAAGCAAGATCATTTACAAGTAGTCATAAAGCTGTAACTAATATATAGTCGAATATATGACTTTCTTCTTGCATCTTCTGTGACCAGAACCTCAACAGGTTGTATTTATTTGACCAAGGTTGTGAACCAGACTTTATTCTGAGAGGTCTGAGCTTCTGGTAATTGGTTCTGTCTTGCTTATATTAAGGCCATAATAGTTTTGTGTTAAATTTTTATCTTTCGATCTTGGGACATGACGAGCAGCGGGGCTCAGGGATCTCTAAGTTTAAAACATTCTGCTGCTAATTGTATAGCAATATTTCTATTCTTCTTGATAGTTCAGACTATGCTATAAGCCATTCCTTTCTTCTCCTAGTGAGAAGAAATGGCCAGATGACATTTAGTTTCTACTTCAGTGGGACTATTATTATATCCTCTGATGGAGGATAGTACACAACTTCCTTAGAATGGTCCTAAACCACAGAAGAATTTAGAATAGCAGGAAACAGAAATAAAAGAACTGAATTCTTAGGTGTAATCATGAGACCTGCCAAAACCACTTCTCACTCCCTGGTTTCCAGACTGATGGATTTCATCTGCAGGAAAATGATCACCCACAATGTGCTGGTTGCTGTTTTAGAGCATGTACTTCATTCTGTAGGTGCATATACTTCATTTTATAGTTATTTTCTCCCAGCTGGTATCATCTAAATTCTATCAGTGAAGTAGTTCGTCATTTAAAGACTTTTTTTTTTTTTAAGATTTTATTGATTTATTTGACAGAGAGAGATCACAAGTAGACAGAGAGGCAGGCAGAGACAGAGAGAGAGAGGGAAGTAGGCTCCCTGCCAAGCAGAGATCCCGATGTGGGGCTTGATCCCAGGACCCTGAGATCATGACCTGAGCCGAAGGCAGCGGCTTAACCCACTGAGCCACCCCGGCGCCCCCTAGTTCGTCATTTAAAAGATGAGCAGTTTTGTCAGATGTTTGAATATATGTTAGGATCAGTTACTTCCATAGGCATCCACCTGTTGCCTCACATCTGTTGTTATGAAAAAAATTCTTTAAGACCATGTGGTATGAGCTGCTGGGTAATAGACAGCCTAATCTAGATAGGTATCAAGTTCAGTGAGGACAAATTGCTCTCCCTTCCACTGATGGAAGAGTGCGGTATAATCAACCCATTACAGAATATGCAATCTTTGCAGTCTGAGTTTGGGCACTGAATGTAGGCAAATAGCATATTGTAAGCACATATATTGGCCTTGGCCTTGCTTCCATGGCCACTTTATCCATGAGTTTATTGATAAATGCCGGTCTGACTACATAAGTACTGCATCAATTTAGATAGGTTATGGTTGTAAGTAATGTGAAATGGTCAGTTTCTTGAGATACTAGATTCATACTCCATTTTATCTATTCATGGAGGGGCATCTAGAAAGGAATTACTGCTTTTACCAGTATTTTTATAAACTGCAAATAATGAATTAAGTATACTCTGTGGGGAAACTTAACTAATTTGGCATTTTTTTCCATACTTGTAGCAGAAAGTTTATAAAAAGAGTTGTAGCCATAGCACTTATGGATACAAAAGGCTTTAACAGCTGGTGGTACAAGAGGGTTTTACATCTTCTTAGGAGATTCTAAATTATAAAGTGTTGAGGTAGAAATAATGAGTTATAGCCATAACCTTACCTTAAGAAAAGCCAATAAATTGTTTATCTGAGAAAGGTCAAAAGTTGATTTTTAAAAAGTTTAACTATTTAAAATTTTGCATTAGTGCAGTCTTAGTTATGTTTAATATTTTTAAGTAATGAAAAGTTTAAATGTCTTAGGGTATGTAATCTAAAAACTGATACCATACTGTAATTGGAAACAACATTAAAATAGAGATTAGTAATTGTACTATTTTAGTCATTTGTAAAATGGAAATGAGAGGAGTTTTAATAAAGAAAATAAGCCACATAACTTAGAGACAGATGTGTTTTTCTTAGGAAAAAAAAAGGCCTTTAAAATATAAGCATTTTGTGTTAGTGACTTAAATACGTAGGATTAATGAGTAATTTTGGATAATATTTTAGGCCTTGCTTATCCAAGAGTCAAGATGGAAATTACCACACCTGCTCCAGTTGCCTGAGAATTATAACACCATTTTTCAGTACTACCACAGAAAAACCTGTAGTGTCTGCACTAAGGTTCCTAAGGATCCTGCTGTTTGCCTTGTTTGTGGTACTTTTGTATGCCTGAAAGGACTTTGCTGCAAGCAACAAAGCTACTGTGAATGTGTATTGGTAAGCAATAGTAAATAATAGAAAATGTATGAAAACTCAAATGTACTAGCACATGGAAATGTGGTATATGTGGTTAATCCCGCTCTTCATATTAGCTCTTCTTTGAATTAAATACACAGTACACAAAAATTTTGTTCTTGTTCTTTTGTTAATCCAGTAGAAGGGTTTAAAAAAAAGAAAAACCCAAACATCTGAGGCTTTACTTAAGTGAGTAAAACTTTTCTTAAGTCCACTTCCACTTCCTCTCTCTGCGCCCATTGCCCTTTCATGGTAGGAACTCTTACATGGTGAGCAGTAAGACAGTGGTCATACCTGCTCTTGTGGGTGCCAGCCTCTGAATTAGGTTTAGGTTGGCTCTTAATTGCTTTCCTAGATAATCCTTAACCCAAATTCCTTCTAGTGTATTACTACTAATCAAATGTTAAGAATGAAATTGTAAGTTTAACTTAGATGAAATCTTTTTAAGAATTTAAGAGATATTTGGTATTATTTAGAAGACATTTAACTAAGGCATTCTTGATTTTCTTATAAAGTCCATTTGATTATGAAGATCACTGATGTATTTTTAATTATTTAGCATTCTCAGAACTGTGGTGCTGGAACAGGAATTTTCCTTTTGATCAATGCTTCGGTGATTATCATCATTCGAGGCCACCGCTTCTGCCTCTGGGGTTCTGTGTATTTGGATGCTCATGGAGAAGAAGATCGGGATCTTAGGTTAGATATGCATGGGTATATTTGAATGTTTTATTGATGTTTCATCAATAAGAACAATGTACCATTCCTGGCTTTGTAATTGTAATAATAATTATTTTTTTATATTAAGAAATTCTGATAGTCATTAAGTTAAAGTTCTTTCTAGTTTTTGAGGTACTTTACACATCCACATGCTAAGGAAATATAAAATAAACCAAACTACCATGTGAGATTTTAGCCATAAAGAATCTATTTTTTTTAAATGTGTGTGAAATCTTCACTGTATTGTACAACTTTTAATACCTTTTTTTCCTTTTTATTCTAGGCGAGGCAAACCTCTCTACATTTGTAAGGAAAGATACAAAGTTCTTGAGCAACAGTGGATTTCTCATACTTTTGATCACATCAATAAAAGATGGGGTCCACATTACAATGGGCTGTGACTCACCACCTCAGCATTGCATTATATCATTTTCATTAAGAATTTATCAACAATAAGCTTTACCTTAATTTGGGGGATTAACGCTTTTGCTGAGGAGAAAAAGAAAACATAAAGCCTTTCCAAAATTAGGTGCTTGGTAATCACATTAATGGTATAATAAATTTTTTTTTAAGTATCTGGAGAACATAACAAATAACAAGTTAAAGCATTCTTTAGTGGTCCTTTTTTTCTTTTTTTAAGTCCACAATTAATAAGAAGCACAACTTGTTGACAAAATCATTTAAAAATGATTCTCCCAGCAATGCATATCAGCTATTCATTGATACTTAGAGTGGGTGTGATTTATTTAAAGTTTTACTGCTTCTTTATATCTGTGTGTTTTAATTTGCATCTGCTAAACACAATGCATCCTTTCCCTCTGGCATTCTTGTGTTGATTTGAGATTTTTGCTGTATGTAATTAGAAAAAAAAATGTAAAACATGATTTATGTGAAATATTGTATAGTAAAAGTTGGTCTAATAGTAGGACTTTAAAATTTTTTCTTATTGTGAGGAATCTGTTAAAAAGTTTAAGGCTTTGCTGAAAACTTAATTCATTCTCAGGAATTTCATAAATATTCTCCCCAGGTAAATAATCGAAATAGTTGTAAAATAAGTAGATAGCTGCTGTTAATATAATACAGTACATTTTGAGGGACATATGTGTGGTTGGGGAAGGGAGTCCTTAAAAATCAAAATTTGCCATTTCATTTGGATGACTTACTTGAGGTATTAACAAATAGATTTTACTATAAAATCAGATGTTTTAAGGACATACATATGGCGGAGTTTGGTTCTGTGCATGCCCACCGTTTATTACCAGCCAAGTTTTTGTTTAAATGATGGAATTGGAAATTGCTCAGACTTACCCACAAATGAAGCTTTGGGTTTTGGAACTTTCCTGTCAGCTCGAGAGGTTCATCTATATTGTATTTGTGCAGCGTAATCACTGCTATTTCTGCTTTGTTTCCTAAAAGGAAAAAAAAAAAAAAAAGGCTCAGTGGTGATGACCCTCATGAATGAGCCACGCATCTGCATTCTTCGTAGAAGCTGCTGCGAAAAGCAATTTATGTTTGTTGGATTTTTTAATCAGTAAGAATGGGAATGATTGAACTACAACCCACTCTATAAATAGAGAAGGAAGATTACAGAAAAGCATGTTATATATTGCTAACAAGATTTTTCTTCCAAATGATTTAGTAACTTGATGATTATTTAATAGATAGTGTTATCAAGCAATTCCTGGTACTTTGGACTTCCATGGCTTGTTATATAAAATTACATTTTTACATGTAAAAATAAACTAAAAAACATCTAATGATAAAATACAAAAATAAAGTCAGATCTATGTTCTAAAAATTACTGAATGACATGACATTACAGAATGTGAAAATGGACATTAAATGATGGCCTTGCTTTAAAATACAGCAGAACAGTACATATTCAGATGTGTTCAAAAGTCAAAAAATTACCTATAGCTCCACAATAAAAATACATGGAAATAGCTTGCTATTTTTATATACATTTCCAAAATATTAAGATAACTTTCTGAAAGATGAGAATGATTCTGTTTAACTAAATAGTTGTCCTTTCCAACACATTGCTACTTTTTTAAATACTGTATCATAAGTTCAGCCTGTCATATTTTTTGCATTGGTCATTCTGAATACCAGACCATTTGTAAGTGTGGTTGAAGAGCAAATGCTAATTTAAATCTCTAGTAAATACTGTTACAGGATTCATGAACTTGAATAATTCTACAGTTTGAAACTCTGATGCTATATATACATGGTATAATGTATTCAGACTTTGATTACTACATATTTAAAATGGAATGTTTTATGATTGTGCATATGGATGTGAAGTGAAAATATTAGCCTTAACATTAAAATTTGGGTATTTGATAGTGTTTATTTTGATATTGGTGAATTAGTCACCGGTAAATTTTTAAAAAGCACTTGGTTGAAAATTGTACTTGAATTACATACATGCATGCTGCTAAACTAGAACTTTAATTTTTTCCCCCATAACTTTTATAAGTCCCATTTATAAGCCCACTTTTAAAAATAACAGGTCCAAGCTAGAGTGATGTGTGTATATTATTAAAAAGAAATGTACTGGTGTGGTATCTTGTATGAATGAACATTTAAATACAGTACATTACTGTAGAGGCTAAATCAATCTTTATAATTAAGCAGAGATTACAAAACTAGGAATAATCAACATTGTAAGATATGTTAATAAAAACCTACTGTCATTTGGTTTGTGAAAGGTCCTTAAAATGTTTAATTCTTAAATGTTTTTCTTTTTTTTAAGGTATTGACAATAATAAATGTAAGTGAGCATAGCAGAAAAGATCAAAGCATAACATAACTGATAGTTGCTCTAAGGTGGAGTTAAATATAAAGGTTTGCTTTTCCTTACACCTTTTATTTGCAGAGGTAGTTCCTGTTTCTTCTATCCTTGTCTTAAAAGAATGCAAAGCTTTTTGCTAAGTGTATGTTTTTGGAAGCTGGGGAGAAGGGAATGGGTATGCAGATCTGAGGAACGCTACTTTGGTCCTTGCTGCTTTCTAAAAATTCCAGCTAGACTTCAGAAATCTAAAGGGCTGTATGATAATGTTTATTTTGAATGGACTGTGATTTTGTTGGAATTGACAGTGTTCGCTCCTACCCCTCCATCCTGAAGCTCACCAGGCAGTTATCAGCTAAGCAACCATTTGTGTTCACAAACCTTTTTTTCCCTATTTTACGTATTTTGGCATTTATTGATTTCTTTTTTTTAAATATTTTATTTATTTATTTGACAGACAGAAATCACAAGTAGGCAGAGAGGCAGGCAGAGAGAGAGGGGGAAGCAGGCTCCCTACTGAGCAGAGAGCCTGATGCGGGGCTCGATCCCAGGACCCTGAGATCATGATCTGAGCCGAAGGCAGAGAGGCCTTAACCCACTGAGCCACCCAGGTGCTCTGGCATTTATTGATTTCTATGACTTAGAAAAGATGCTGATTGAAAACACTGACAATAGTGCGAGAGAATATATGAACCAAGAGTCTGTAGCATCTCCAGGATTGTAATTGCTGACTCTCAAGTTCCTGTTGTTGGCTTATTTTTGTGGTCCTGTTGAACAACAAAAACAAAGCACAACATGATTTTAACCATGATTTTAATCAAATTACCAAGACAAGATACATTCACTGGGGGTTATTCCTGATATGCGATGGTTGGTGGGTCTCAGTCCCATTCACAGCACATAGTTGTTTTCCTTTGTGATCTGGCTGGAGTGGGCAGAAGGATGGCAATGTGATCACTTCTTGATTTGTGAGACTTCAAGCCCCCTTGATAACAAAGCACATTAAATACAGAAGAGTTATTACCATCCTAGTGTGCCATAATCAAGTAGCAGTGGAGTGAACGTGATTCCAGCTGAAAAGGCATGATGGGATCTTAAGGATGGCTGCAATGTAAGATGTGGCAATAACAAAACTAATGTGGCAGAGCCCAAGAGCAAGCCAGAGAAGTAAGGTCAAGAGCACAGATGAAGGCTTCAGCTTGAGGAGAAGGAAAGTCTAGAGCAAACAGAGAGGATTCATATCTGATTCCCTATTATGTTGGTGACAGAGGAGCAGGATCATCTGTGGAGGGTGAGCAAGCCTAGTGTATCTGGGAGTTTTGACTTAAGTGGTAGGGTTTAGACATGGGAGTTTTGACTTAAGTGGTAGGGTTTAGACATGGTACGAGAGAACAGGCTAGAAATAAAGAGAAGTACCACAGAAGTAATGGTGAGGACACAGTGGGGTTAGAAGCCACATTTCCATGGAGCAATTAGAAAGGTTCTGTGACTTTTTAGAGCCCCTAAGATCAGCAGTCCAGAACCCAAAGGGTAGAAACTAGACTGCTAAATTAACTAATAATTTGGGGATTTGAGAGGTGAGTGCAATATCGGGTGGTAGAATTGGGAATACTGATTGAAATGAGTGTGGGGTCCCTGCTGGTAAATTATGGATTATAGGATTGGAAAACTATAAAAAAGATGAGACTTAATGAGGAGATGTGATGCAAGTTTTCAAAGTTTTCATTTGGAATTAGGACAGACTGCTTTTCTGTTGAATCATTTGAATTCATTCAGTAAATATTGAGCCCCTCTTATGTACCAAGCAGTGATGAATACTGGAAGTACAGTGGGAAAAAAGCCAGATAGTCCCTTCTCTTGTATAGCTTTCTGTGTGATGAATACTACAAATGGTGTGTGTGTTAAGGGGTTGGGGGCTAGCTAGGAGGAGAATGGAGTATAAGTTACTATTGAAGGAACCTCTAAATGAGACTTGGGAAGTATGATGAGGGTTCCAGGGGATAGAGATGTTTATGGTGTTTCCCATAGACTGTGTAGGAGACACCTGGGTGAAAGTGGAGGTGTGGGGAGTAGTGTCTCAGGCAGGTATAGGGAGTACAATTGGCAAAGACCCGGGGTTGAGAGAGAACTTGTAGTTACAGATCTGAAAAGGCATCCTTACGACTCTAACAGGTGGTTTTGAGAGATAAACTCTAAATTACAAAGGGATTTTATAACTTTCTAAGAGTTTAGACTTTGTTCAGAGAGCATGGGGAGACATTTCAGGGCTTTAGACAGGAGAGTGGCATAATCCGATTTCCATCTTAGAGAAATCAGTCTGGCTGTACTGTGGAGAAAAATCCAGAGTGGGAAGACCTGTTAGATACCTGTTGAAAGAGCCAAGACACGACAGTTGACTCAGCTAGGTGAATCGTAGTAGAGACAGAAGTGGACAGTGTCAGAAGAGACTTGACAAATCAGTAGGGTGAGGGAGAGCAAGGAATATTTAAGTGCCTCTGTGTTCCAGACTCTAAGCTAAATGTCAGGGACATCACATGGAACAGTTGGTTTCTGTCACCGCTATTCCGTTCTCCCATCGCAATGCAAACAGCATCCATTGATTTATGGAAGTGTGAATTGACATGACTGTGTTCCAATAAAGCTACTTATAAAAACAGGCTGTGGGCCATAGTTTGCCAAGCTTAGTTTTGGTGAGATGGTAGAGGTAGAAGCCAAAGTATAGCTTCTGGAGGTGAGAAGGTAGAAGGTTGACAATGAAGTGGAGGAGTAGAACAATTT